AGCACATCGCATATTTTTGTATGTTGTCTGACTGCAGGTATACCTTAACGGACTTTATAAACTCCCGACAGACCCGAGACCCCAACCACTTTGAACATGACAACCCCTATATAGTCCCAAAAGCAGCCCAAAATATCTATGCTAAATCCGCGAAACGGACAGGCGCAGATCACACCGCAGGCTTGGAAGGCTAGGTTGGGCCATTTCCTTCGAAGGGCCCGTGCATTGTTGGAGGGTCTGTAAGCTTGAAAGGGTGCAGGGTTTTCAAACGTCAGGGGTTGCAGGGCTTGTAAAAGAAGATTTGGGTTTACGGGTTTAGCTTTTGGAACCGGGCTTGACGTTTCGAATGCCTGGGAGAGAGAGCTGCTTTTGGAACTAGTTTATTGTCTCACGATTTAGAGCTAGGATTTTTTGGACCACGACGTTCCCTGTTATGTTTGCTGCCGCAGTATGTGTCGAGATCGTGAGTATGGCTCTTGCTCATCCGGCCATTGCGCAGTATCAAAGCATCTCTGTGAGTTTCGGCTTCCGCAATTTAGTGGTCACTCTTCCTCAGGCCACAGGCTTTCAAGGGGCTCAAACACAAAGCTGAACTCGCAAGCATGCAGTTTGCACAAGCAACGAAGTAGCAATCTTGACGTGTCTGGCTTCCATCAGACATCTCAAGCCGTCAAGACTCCTGCAAACAGGGTTTATAATAGAGTTTGAGGTTTTGCCTCGGTTCCTGGCATATGCATAGTCCGGAGGTGCCGATGAAGAAGCGCTTGTGGTTCCCTTCAACGTGCCGCAGGTCACCAGAGTATCCAATGGGGTCTTTTGGAGAGAGCCTTGCCTGGTCCTTGTCACAGTCGACTTGTTGGCCTACCAAGTTTCTGGAGGACCATGTATAGGTCTGATATCTCGGTGGTCTATATAGATGGTTGAGCCTCACCATGCCGGGAAGACCTAGCCGATTTGAGAAGAGTGCCGCAACTGTAGGCTGCATTGTAGTGTGGAGGTGTGATGTTGCTTTACAGATGCCGAGATGTTTCCCGCAGCTGGCCACGATGGTGATTACATGAACGTTATATGATGCTTGGAGTTTGCGGTTAGGGTTGACATGTAATTGAAGCTTGCCTGTTCACTAACGACCCGCAGCCCTGACCTGGATCGCTATCGAGTCCCGCACTTGAAGAATGGAGCACCCGAAGTCAGTTCGACTGGGTCTCGGCCCCATGCAAGCATCGAGAAGCAAGATGGAGATCGAGGTCATATATATATATATATAGATACATGTGTATATATATATATATATATATATATATATATGTGTGTGTGTGTGTACACATATACATATAAACATATATATATATATATATACATACATACTAGCATATATATATATATATATATACATATATATTATAGGTTGCTCTCGTGCTTGCCTGGCCTGTAGCAACTCCGCTGTTGAAGTGATTGGCATTGCAGGACAAGCGGGTCTACGTTGTAGCTTCAACCGTCTACGGCCTCGGAATGAGCCTTGGCACAACCCGCAGCTAATTACGCAATGTAATGTACGCTTTTGCGCAGCCTGCTGTGACATGTATGATGGAAGAGGGTGAACAGATGAGATGCAAGAAGCGTTAGGCAAAACCTGCTGCCGCTCCTTCTTGTCCGGAACTGCTCAAGATCCACCGAAGCAACCTTTAAAATGGGGTTTTGTTGAAGCACAACGAGCTGAGGATAGCCATCTCCCAGGCGCCCATCACACCGGACGATTTGATTCCGAAGAGCCTGCCCCCACCCCCAGATCAAGCTGAGCCCGAGCCGCGGCTGCTCTAGTAACGGCACTGTGAGGTTCTCGGGCCACGTTTAGATTAAGCCGAGTTCTAGGATTATGTTGCATGTGCTCAGTGGGGTGCTGGCATTCATCAAGTCCAGATGTAAAAAAATGTTTCAGTTCGGGAAGTCCCGTATTCCCGTGAAGCGCAGTCAGTCATACTGAGTAGTAGCTGAGTGAGTCAGCTGAGTGCCGTACATATACCATACATGGTCAGGTGATCGCCACGCATTAATCATGACAGTGGGCCATCGCCTTTGTAAAGTCCGTCACATGCAAGGGTGCGGGCGGGCAAGCATAGCTCTACGGACCCAGTTAGAGTGTAACTATGTTGCATTTCACGTGTACAGGACGCTGGCACTGGACAGGCCCGGAAGTGCCAAGGGAGCTATGCCATGATGCAATGTCAGGATAAAGAACATATAGTCGCAGAGCCACTATATGTGAGTGTGTGAGGGCGTCGACCCGAGTTGCAGTAAACTAGTACTCTTCGTGTCGTAACGCTCAGTCACAGTCACAAAATCCCGTCTCTTGGACCAAGGAGGCTGGAAAGTCGAAGGACAAAGGGAAGAGAAAGGGCAAAGGGAAGGGCAAAGGCAACAATGATCCGGCGGAGTTTGGCAAGGCGAAAGGCAAACAGAAGAGCAAGGACTGTAGGGGCCCGAATAATTTGAACAGGGTTTTGGGGGTTTCTGTATTGAAACTAAGGTGCATTATACCCCAAACCCTATTCGAAAAAGTTTTACAGGACAACCACCAGACGGAAGCTGGAAAGGCCAAAGGCAAGACGGCCAAGAGCAAAGACGTCGGCAGCGCGCCGCAGCAAGTTGGAAAGGCCTCGGTGCTTGAATGGAGTTACTGACATTGCAGAGCGAGCAATATACAAATATATAAACACATAGATAGGCAGATAAACAGGTATACACATACACATGCACATACACATCCACATGCACACGCACATACGCATACGCATACATGTACATACATGTACCTACACACATAACTATATATATATATATATATATATATATTCTGCTTGTACGTGCTGTTACATACAAGTACATACATGTACATGTACAACTAACTATAAACACATACTAACATATACATACATAGACAGAGGCAAGTTCAACTTCATATTCATATTCAGTTACATACATACAGACAGCCAGACAGACGGACGGAAAGACGTAGACATATGTGTGTGTGTATATATATATATATGTATACATGGACATACAGATAGACAAAGACATATACATATACATACATGTTCGCCACCGTATATGCGCATACGAACTAAAAAGCACTTGACCCACCCCGTTGTGATGTGTTTCTTTGCTCCTACGGAAAACACGAGAATCAACAGCGCAGGGGAAGGGCAAAAGAAAGAGCAAGGACACTGGCCACGAGCCGCCTGGAGCTGGAAAGGCAAAGAGCAAAGGGAAGAGCAAGGACAGCTGCTAGTATCTGCAGCAAGCTGGAAAGGCGTGAACATGAGTTGGGAAGACCCAGAAGCCAGACGAAGCTGGAAACAGCAACAAGTCGAGGGAAGGTTTGAGCACGGTTCGTGGCTCAATGGGAGTTTCCGAAAATTAGGGGTACCTTAGTTTGGGGTCCCTTTGACAAGGATCCTACTGCTTAGGGTACTATATTAGGGTCCCCTATATTCGGAAACACCCATATACCCTAAACCCTAAACCGTAGAGCTCAGCGGACTTAGTATCTGAAGCCATGCCTGCCTTGTCCGAGTTGCGAGAGTTTAAACCCTACGGTTTACTTCAGCAGGTTGATCGGAATCGGAAGCAAGCTGGCCGAAGCCTTCTGAGTCGCAGGGCCGAGGGAAAAATTACCCTCAGACATCCCAAATCCTGAACCCGAAGACAGTACTTATGTGGGTGTGGGTGTATATCTATCTACATACTGATATGTATGTGTTTATTTGCTGTATAGAAAGAGAGGGAGAGAGGGAGAGAGAGCGAGAGAGAGAGAGAGAGAAACAGAGCGAGCAGTGTTTAAGGAAATGTGGCTTGAGTAGCTCTCAATCCAACCGCCAGGAGCCCCCGGAAGCTGGAAAGGCCAAGGGTGAAGGTGTGCTGCCGCACTAGTCCAGCATACTGTTGGCTTAGTAGTCTACCCTAGACCCGATAGGCCCTAGACGGCAGAACCTCCAGGAGCACGATCCACCATGCGTAGTCCGAAGAACATGACCGTATGCGGCACATTGCGTAGCCCAAAGTCAGGCTTCTGGGACAGGCTGCTTCTCGTGATTTTGCCAGCAGCTAGCAGCTAGTGATGCAGCTCGCAGCGGCATAACAATGTTTTTTTGGATTGGAAACAGGCGTCCCAAGATACGCAATGTCCGCTTGACTCGCTTTTATTTTATGGCTTTTAATTCAGTCTTCAGACAGCTTCGAACTTCATGGCATGTTGCGCTTGCGTACAGTGGGCTGCTCAGCCGAAAACTGAGACTCCCAGCACGACTGCCGACGGCTAGGGCCTAGGGGGAGGGAGGAACAGAGACGGAACCCTCACGAGGATGACTCTCGACTCTCTCCGTGTGGAGCATGCTGGCTCGCCCGAGAGAGCCTGCCAGAGTAAGGAACACAGGGTCGGCATCAACTGAGCCCATATCATTATGACTTTACCGGAGGACCTTTGATAAATGCATTGTGAGTGTGTTTAGCTCTTGCTGCCACTGCCACCTTGCCGCAACTGCTTTCTCAGTGAACCTGGACATGTCTCTCTGTAATGCGCGTCGACCCTTCTTCAGCATCTGGTTCCTTGCTTTTTCATTGAGTAGAGGCTTTACATCATGGAATCAAAGAATAGAGCAGCAGGAATTCGACAGAGAGTCAGACTTGTATTTGGTGATATGAGAGTTTAATGGCGCAGTCACACCAGGAAACACACCCATCATCGACATTTCAACTGACTTGTGTTTGCTTGTGCTTGTATTTCATAAAGGTGCAGGCTGCTGAGCGTGACTTTGCCGCCGGAGGAATGTTACGAATGATGCCTTCCCCAGGAACTGCAAGACTTCTTTGCAGTACGTTAAGTCCCATAGGGAAGACTGTAAGTTAGGTGTTGCAACCACGGAGTTTGTCCTGTGGTTGTTGTTCAAACGCCTTGCGGCGTGCATGTAACACTCATAGCCTTGTCCCGAACAGAATCTGAGGTGAGGTCTTCGCCATGCACCCGCCGAAGACACAGCTGGCTTGTCGTGGCTGCTTCTGCTCCTTCTGAACACGAGCAACAGCGACATCACAGCGACCACTGCTGCTCGACCACGACGACGGCGGCCGTGACGACGACAACCCGGACAACAACAGCATCAACAACAACAACAACAGTAAGAACAAGTTCAGGACCAAGAACAATAGTACGACTTGTATTCATATTAACATGATCACAACAAGGTCAGGGAGAGCAAGAGCGACAAAGATGACGCAACAAGGCAAGAAGCAGTAACACGAGCCGCAGCAACGACAATAACATCATTAAACACAAGTACCAACAATGGAACAAACAACGCTTCTTCTTACTACTACTGTACTATACTACTACTGTGCTATACTACTACTACTACTACTACTACTACTACTACTACTACTACTACTACTACTACTACTACTACTACTACTACTACTACTACTACTACTACTACTACTACTACTACTACTACTACTACTACTACTACTACTACTACTACTACTACTACTACTACTACTACTACTACTACTACTACTACTACTACTACTACTACTACTACTACTACTACTACTACTACTACTACTACTACTACTACTACTACTACTACTACTACTACTACTACTACTACTACTACTACTACTACTACTACTACTACTACTACTACTACTACTACTACTACTACTACTACTACTACTACTACTACTACTACTACTACTACTACTACTGCTGCTACTGCTACTGCTACTGCTACTGCTACTACTACTACTACTACTACTACTACTACTACTAGTACTAGTACTAGTACTGCTTCTGCTACTGCTACTGTTACTGCTACTGCTACTACTACTACTGCTACTATTACTACTACTGCTGCTACTACTACTACTGCTGCTGCTACTACTACTACTACTACTACTACTACTCCCAGTCCTGCTCCTACTGCCAGTGCCGCTGCTTATTCTGTTACTACTGTTGCTGTTGCTGTTAGTACATGATGGCGCCACTACCATCACCAAGAACATAGCTACAGCCGCCACAACGTTTGTTTCTAATGTTCTTGTTGCTTTTAGCACTGCTGTTGCAGAATTGCTTCTGCTCTTCCTCGCCCGCTTGTATCTGCGACCAACATAGCTTTGGCCGCAGCGACGACAAAAACGCAGTAGCTTAAGCGATATTTTGGAGGGTGCTGGACAGTAGGCCGTGATGTTGCAAGATGCCTGCTGAGGCACCGGCGGGCCTCCCAGTCCTGGCACCCAGCTTTATATGCCTTTTGAAGATGATCCATCCGATGATGCCTGCGGAGTCTGTTGGATATGGTTTTAAGATTTCAGTCTTCAAATTTAGGTCTTTGCTTGCATGGAAGAGCTCGCTAGTGGCTACGTACAGTAAAACCAAGAAGCGACGTCGCGGTTGTGGGGGCCACATGTTCCTGCTTGTGGAACCGTGGGCAAGATGAGATCACATCTTCAACTCCTTGGTGGGTGCCTGCAGGGTCAAGCACATGTGTGTGCACAGAGCCTCTTGTGATGGTTTTCA